TTCCACACCAGGAGTCATTCCATATGCATAGAGATAGAGAAGTATTAGTATCATGGAAAATGTGAAAAAGCATCCACAGATATACACCGGTATTCCAAAGCTGTAAATTCTTTCAAGCCACGCAACCTTAGCAAACACAAAGTACAAATATAATTACGTGCCTAATTACCTCCAATTGTTGTTATGCACTACAAGCAGGAACCAAGGAAGATCATGTCATTGTTTGTTCAGCTGAGACTTTTGCTTAGCAGAAGGGCACTGTCTGCCCAGCCTCTCCACCTGATTGACGTCGTGGGCTTCAGTGGGGCTTGTTTGTAACCTCCAATGTGGCTGTATGCACAAGCAGCTGAACTGCTGCCCAAGTAAGCCTTTTTGGTAGATCGAGGAACTCAGGTCTTTGGGGAGATAAAGAATGCCATCAAATTTTATAGATCAGTAGCATGTGCTTTGGAACATTCCAAAACCTTTTGGAACCTCTTCAACTTATGTGGTGCTGGAAAACCAGAACCTGTGGTGTCTAACTCCTAGACATGAGATTTCTGTCTCCTCTCCTACCTTCATTTCCCACTCACTGAAGGGCTCTAGAAGTCTTTGATTTTTGCAAATATGTATGTATCAGGACATCTGAGTTGTCCCAGTAAATTTAATTCCTCTATGTGCTCGAACTCATGTGGAAGGGCTGCGTCTTTAAGTTTAACTTCAGTGCTATAAAAGTTCTGAACAGAGAAAGACTGAGAAAAATTTAGATATTTTTTGGATTGGTAAAATCAACACACTGGAACTGCATCTAGTATTGTAGGAACAGCTTAAAATGTCTGGCAAAGTGAACAGTTTCTCTGACTAGATTTTGTTAAATTAACGTTGTCCCTTGGTCAGCTGCTCTGCATTCCCTGCATGTGCAGCTTTACATGGCTGCAGTCAGGGCTTGATTTGGGGGGAATTACTTATTTAGTGCACTAAACTACCATAATTTCAAGCTAAGTTTGATGAGAATTGCTTTCTTTTTATCCTTTTAAATAATACTATCTGCTCCAGAGTTTTAGAAGAACTAAATGAAGCAAATAATAAATGTTCTGTGCATATCATCTGGTTCTGATTACCTACTTTATTTTCTAAATACCACTACAACTTATTCAGCAAATAAATGTACAGTCCAAAAACATGGTATTAATTAATGAGGGACATGTTTTGGACTTGTCTGCTGTATAACTCAGTGGCTTCTGGGCACACTGGTGCATTGCAGAGTTCCCTGATTTCTCTGGTTAGCACCCAGCTGGGAGTTGATACTGCTTAAAATACAGACAAGGCAAAATACTGAAGGAAATAGATTCTTTGCTATGGAACAGTGCCCTGTACTGTATCTATGGATTGCTCAAAGGATCATTTTACATTAATTCTGATTTCCATAGAAAAAAAACCCAGAAATAAGTGGCTCAAGTATTACAGGAATATAAATTAATTAGAGGCATGAAATCTAAGGTAAATAAATAGAAGACAGTTTTCTGATAACTTCTTTGGCTAGGATGTTTAGAAAAATAGATGAATCAAAACCCCATAGTCCCAAAATTTGCATTTCCTCTTTCAAAGTGACCAGTTCCTCTCAGAGTGCAACAATGTACACCACTGAAAGAGTTTAATGGAACAAGGGGTGAGTAAGATCTGTCCAAGCAGTGATATCTGGCATCACAGGAATGACATTTGAAAAAGGATATGGTAAAAAATTCTTGCACTGTTCTGTGGAACATACCACTGACGTGTCAAATTCATTTAAAGATGTACTATGTGTGTCTAAAATGTGTTCTTCCTTTTCACCTTCTCGTTTTCTCCAGCAGAGCACAGCTAGGGGGAGTTTCCTTCCCAGCCATTCCAGGGCTCTGCAGACCTTCCCTAAGCTCCCAGATGGGACTTGTCATGTGTTTCTAAAGAGAATATGCTGTAAATACCAACACCTGCTCATGTGTCTGTTGGATGTGTCAGCAGATTTTCAGGAGATGGAGTAAAAGAATAAGCCACAGACCCGGCTGCCAGGTTACTGCTACAACATTTTCCCTTTCTTTTCTCTTGAGAACAGAACGGTGTCCTATGGAAACTTGAGGCTGAAGGTAGATTTGCTATCAGGAAAACCTTTCAGAGTATTTAACTCACTCTTTTTCTTTTATTTCTATCCATATTACACAAGTGTGGTGGTGAGCCTTCTGCCCCTAGTTTCCAGATACTGTTGTAGCAAAAGATTACATGCATAATTAAACTAGTTAAATTCTAATAGTCTACAAATATTTGAAGGATGCTATGAACTTTCCAAACTATTTTTGAAGTTACTCATTTCTTCAATCAATTAATGTTTGTCTAAATGCAAACACAGCTGTTTTGTGGTTGTTTGGTTTTTACCCTCCTCATGAGGGACTCACAAAGCGAGCAAATGAAACACTGTGGGTTGACAAACTCTATTTCTTCAAAGCCCACAATCTCAGATGACAAATATTCTTGCTCTCCAAATTGGGTGGATGGGAAATTGGCTTGTGTTTTGGTTGCTTGTTTTTTCTGATGTTGTTGCCTTTCGGTTTGTAACCCCTAAAGCCATAAAATTCATAGAACTGAGCTTCCAGTAATGGCTTTTAAGATGGATTTTGTCTTCATCAGTGTGAGAGCAAAATAGACAAATACGTTTGTAGTGTCTGTCCCCTTTGTACCATATCTGGAATATATATTTGGCCTCACAGGCCCCAAGTATAAAAACCCAACAAACTTGCTTTTGACTCTCATCTCAGCTTATGCCAGTGACCACATAGGAACCCCCTTTTTACCCTGGGGCACATTTGGGCTGTATTTAAACAACCACTCCCCTGAAGTACAAGACAGGGTTCACTTAGTCAAAAGAAGCAATGGTAACCTTCGTCCCTCCAAAAACTTGGACCCCTCTGATCTGCAATATGCACATTTTATCCCTATTTCACTATTGCTTTGCAGAAAATAGCCCCAGAAATACCCACTTCTTTTGAGTGTGTCTCAATAACACCTTCATACAGGACACTTTTGCATTTCCCAGTTGTTCATTTTTCCAAAGATCTCTAATATTCTAGTTTTTCTTCCTTTAAACAGATATTTACTTCCTTTACTCTAACTTTTTCTTTATGAACATGAAAACTTAACCCTTTTATTAGTGTGCACAAGCAGTAAATACAGGATTAGCAAATTTGCACAATGGGTTGGTTCACATTTCTTTCTTTGCAGCGTGATCTCATTAATGAATAGTTGAATTGAATTTGGAAAATGAACACAGGATAAAAAAAAAGCTGCTTTGTACCCCTCAGATTCTACTTAAGAAATAATTAATGTTGACTAGATCTAATAAAAAGGTAGACTTTTCAATTTATCATTTTAAATTGAATGTTTGTTAGGGAGTTCCTTATTCTTCTAATTTCTTGAGAAATAACAACACCTAAAGATTCCGAGATCATTTCCATGGAACCCTACTGATTTCATTCTTACTAAATTCTATAGATCTGAGCCTACAGTTATTATGAAACTTAAAAGAAAATGACAATTAAAGTGATTATTTCAGTAAAATGTTAGGAAAATTGACCTAATCCCCATTGATAAGTGGACAGACTTTTTTTTTCCTGTGGAGAAAAGAGTTATAACGAATGACTCATTAAAAGTTTTAGTTTTCTGAGTTCTGTCAAGCTGTTCACATTTTAAACTTAATTTAGATCAGAGCCACATTTGCATTAGTCTAGATGTGGTTTCTTAGTAACTCTTGAATCTCTTTAGAAAAACATGTCAAAAACAACCACATGGTTTAGATTCCTTAATGAAAGCAGCCTACTTGTACAGCTCGGGTGTGTTTTCTTGTAATGCATCTTTAGCACATTAAGCAGAGCACAATGGCTTGTTCCACATTTCAAGATGGATATCAAGTACCAAGTAGCTGTGAACCCTTCACGTCTCTTACATTCTGTTTGATCAGCAAGTACTTGTGCATGGGAAAAGTGTTCGTGCTTGGAAAACAAGAGAAGGTCACTATTCCTGCCAGGGCTTTGCCAGTGCAAGCTGCACCTTCCTTATGAGAACCACAGAGAGACGTGATGTCCAGAGCCTGCTTATATGTGGAAATTAAAACAGAACCCAACAGTTTCCAGGTGCTATCCATATCTTCCTTTGGAGACCCTTTACTTCTCTGTAAATCTTTAATTTTTTTTTTTTTTTAGAAGATCCTTGTTTACTTTAATTTTTATTGCTGGGATTATCAGTTGGAGGACTATAGAACTGAGAGTTATTTGCTGCAGATTTACTGAAGTCTTATAAATTTCCTCTGTAAGAGTTCTCTTTAGCATCTGCTGTCTGGGTACTTTCATCTGTTATGATCTCTGTTATTTTAATTGTCATATTATTATCTTAGAACCTTACACCAACAGAAATTTTTCCTAAAAAAAAAAAAACAAACCAAAGCAAAGCCAGAGTAATTGTTGCCCAGAGTCAAACTTAATCTGTTATGTAGTGTTGTTTTTTATTGTGTGATCTGCCGTGTTGCACTTGTGAAGTTTTTGGACCGTCTCTGGTTGAGCATCTTTATACTAATCTGAGTTACTGTAAGAAAACGATTGTGAAATGTTGGTAACCTTTCAAATGCAACTGATGTGTCTGCAAGAAGCCTCCTTTCTGCTTTCTCTAATTATTCCTATTTAGAGACTTTGACCTAGGCTGAATTTGTTAGATTTCTTTTTGTTGAGGATGTTTTAAAGTCCTCAGGTCAGTGGGGTCTTACTGTGAGGCTCTTGTCCCTTTTCGTTTGTGCACGCTCACCTGGATCCCTTTCCATCCCTGGTACTGCCAGTGGCCCAGTGCATGAGTACAAGGGAAAGGCAGGGCAGCTGCTGCTCCCACTTGGCATGATTGCCTAGGAGGGAGTTACACAAAAGGAGAGAATTGATTTCTAGGTTGGTTTCCATGAGAAAAATGAAACTTCCTGCGATTTGTCTATGTGCGTCTCCCTCACCCCCCCCTCCCCTTCCAAATAACTTTTGAACCCTTTGGTCAGTTTTGGCCCTGTTGGATTGGGAGTTCCCACTGCAGGAAGTTAATTGAGATGAGCAGTTGGTAAGAGGAGAGAGTCGCCATGAACATCCCTCTGAAGAGGAGTCTGTGGCTTGGCACCGGGGAATTCACAGGGAAAAGAGACGCGAATGCTCCAGGTAGATGAAAAGCAGCCATTGGAGATCAGGCGAAACCCAAAGCCACAAAATTATGGGAAAACTAGCAACGCTGTGCTGTGCATACAACTTTTTGTTTTCCTTCTTCCTAAAGCTTTTAAGGAATGTTTTTCTTTTTTTTAAGTCTGTCCCCCTTTGCTGTTCCTTTGCTTGCTGATGCTACTCTTGCAACCTGAGCAGGTGCCTGTGAGTGTCTGTGGAGTCATTTTTTCCTGAGTAACAAAAAGCTAAGCATGCTTAAAATTTATTTCTCTGGATGTAAGGTTTTCATATTATACATCACACGGTTGTATTTAGTCTGAAAAACTACATGAGGACTTCTGAATATTTTTTCTTTAAAATTGTAAATAGGAAGCTTTTTAACACATCTGTGTTTGAACTGTTACCCGTGTCTAAGTCAAGGTCTCAAGCATGGCTGTGTTCTATCTATCTGTCTATCTGTCTGTCTATCTATCTATCTCTGCAGCATTTCTGTGGGGTCTACTGAATTGTTTTGCCTGAACTGTGTAAGTGGCTTGATTTATTACTGAGCTACGAAGAGCAGCAGGAAACATCCACTACTTGTATATACCAGCCCGAATTTACTTGCTTTGTAAGCAGTTCTACCTACATTGCATTATTGAGAGTTGAAATGATTTTGGAACATTCTTTGCTGGTTAATAGGAGAGCTGTTACATATGGGCTTCCAGGTGATTTGCACTGATGGATATTCAGGGTGGTTTTCTGGCTTCCTCTAAACCAGTTGACTTAGGAGTGGGTTTTTATTTTGCAAGTGATGTGAGTTTTTCTTTCCATTTAATCCTTGAGATCAGCTAGTGGATTTCATAGAAAAGGAAAGATAAACTGTCACTGTGTCCTGAGCCTACTCACAGAATATGCAGTCCAGAAATAACATACTGTCTGGACTGAGGGAGCAAGCACTATGAAAATGTTCCTTTCCTAGCCTATGTGATAGTTCTCAGAAATCCAGCTTTCGTTTGCACTATGCCAACCAAAAAAGAGCTCTTTTCATGTATGGGATATTTCAGGGTTTGAATAGTCTCTTTGTACTAAGAGCACATGCACTGCTTTTTACTGTTTATATTTTTGGTACTTTTTCTTCTGTGAGCTTGAAGGGATGTGGGAAATGGAGCAATCTGCAGCTCACATGAAAAACAAGGAGGCTTAAAGTGAAGCACTTTGGGACTTGCACTTCATTGTCTTTGCAGCCATGATGGCAACAGCGTGTGTGCTCCTGGTGGGTCTCAGGACACACAGCCCAAGGTGACAAACCCACTCTGATCCGTCTTCTGAGGCAGGTCTTCAATTGTTTTCGTTGTCCTTCATACTGAAAACTCATCTTTACATAATTTTAATGAAAGCTGCGAACTTCTTGCTACCTCAAGCTTAATTTTCAAAGTGGAAAAGGAAGACTGTGAAAGATCCCCCTGCTTTCCCTGTATTCCTTCGTTAGAAGAGCTAGGACTGAAATTAGGAGAGGAGCAGGGCTCAGGGAAGCTCAAATCACAGAGGAAACTTAGAAACAGAAGCTTTCATTGCAGAAGTGTCTGACTTTGGTGAAAATTATATATTGCCTTTGAGTAGCAAACTTTACAAGAGTGCCAGGTCACTTTTTCTTTACTATTTGTAAAGCTAGTGACTAAAAATGAAAGAGATGACATCTCAGATAATGTAGAGTTTGTTTGTTTGTTGGCTTGTTTTACTGGTTTGAGGAAGAAATGAAAATTCCTTTTGTCATTAGAGGAAATCAAATAGCCAAGGCATTTGAAGCTTTGATCACAGTCTCAAATCTAAAAATATATTAGACTAAGTAGCATTGCAAACAAACATAATTTAAGGCATCAAAACCAGAAACTGATAACCAGCTTTATGGCTGATGTAATTTAAATTCTGTGCTATTTTAAAATAAAGGAGTTAGCAGTAGAAGAAAGCCATTTGGAAAAATTGGCAAAAATGTCTTGCTTCTCTGGGCACCTTCTACCTATTTCTTTGTTCTTGCTCCCATGAAGAAATTAGACAAGTTAATGGCTGCAGAGTCTGTTCTTGAATGATAAGCCTAATTCTTAGCTACTTAGCTGCATCTGCAAAGGTCAGCAGAGGACAAAGGTCATGGCTCCAATAGTGATACTTCATTACATGTTAAAACCCTCATAATTCTTTAACATTTCATTTTAGAAGCTAAGACAATATCCCCCCTCAGCAAGTTCAGTGCCATGCTAGTATCAGTCTAAAAGTATTTTCTTTGAACTGCTGGCCACTGCTGCATTTGAAATTTGTTTATTTACCTATTAGTTTGGAAGAGGAGGAAGGGGGTGCAAGGAAAAACCAGGAGTTGCTGCATGGGAGCTGAGCTGTCTTGGGTATCCCATCAAACAAACACCTCTTGGGAATGCTCTAGGTGTGGTTGCAGCTCCCCTGGCACAAGGGGCAGACTCTGTGACAAGCGTGGGGGTTTGGATGTATAACGTTAAAACCTCATCTCCTGAGCACACAAAAACATCTTGAAGAAAATCCTTCCCTGTTCTCAGTGGAAATGTGGTTCTGTGAACATCTTAAACTATTTATTCATGTATTATTGGGTTTTGTTGTAAGCAGATTTTTTCCCCCAGCCTGTTCCCCACAGCTTGTGTTGGCACAGGAGATGCAGAAGTGGGCAGCAGATGTTAGCTGGAAGGTGGGAATGCTTCTTTCCATGGTGGCCACTTATGTGTTCAAAGAGTTTGAGGAAAGAACCCACAGCCTCAGGAACTGCTGATATGCAGGTTCTAGAGCTGGGTGGTAACTTTCCTTACAGCCACATTATGGAATTTCCCTAAAGGGCTTCATTCCGTGTATTACAAATCGTATTAGCAGGAAGTTCCTTATAAATACCTTGGGCTACATTCACTTTCAAATTACACAAACTACACTCAGAATGCTGCTTATAGCAGTATTTTAGGGTTTAGTACTTTACCTTTTTGTTGGCTATGTGACTTTGTGACTCTGGACTGTAAAGTCAAAGGGTGCTTTGTCAGTGATTTCTGAAGAGTAGGGATTTCATCCTGAGTTAGCTTTACAGGAACACAAATTTCATTCATTTCTGCCATCTGATAATGATTTCATCTTGTGAAGATCCTCTGTTGTGACAAGTTCTCCTCTGTTTACATGCTCTTAGTGCAGTAGTTAAAATGCAGAGCTGTTCAGAGTATTATTTAAATGTCTTTTGCAACCTTAGAGGCGAGTGACCCTGCTGCCCTGGCTAAATTCCAGTTTACATCATTGCAATCCCCTACTTAACTCGCCAAAAAATGCTGTGCAGAGGCCACCACTAATGCCTGCACTGTTCAGTCTGAACTGAGATATCCATAGAAAATGGTGCCCTGCAGAGATTCTGCATCAGAAGAGGTGTTAGCTGGGGTATAAACTGCTGCCTTTGCTCCTGCCAACCCCAAAAAGACTTGGATACTTAAGCTAACAAGCAAGAAGTACAAGCCAGAACAGAGGAAGAACAGGCTTTAGGACTATCCAGAAATGTATCAAATGACCCTGACAAGTTCTGCCCTTGAAATTATAAATTATTAAGAACAATACTTGACCTGTAAGCAATTAGCCCAAAGAAGGGCTGGAGGATAATTCTGATGCTACTAAGGGCCTGGAGAAAAGCAAAAGTGGAAAGGTTAAGAGATGATTTTTTTTTTCTTTAAAGGAAATAGAGTGGCATGCTTTAATTTTTTTTTCTAAAGATTGTTATCAAAGAATGGAATAGGAATTTTGCAGGAAAGAAAGATGACTTTGATTAGGAAAAACTGTGTCTGTAGAATAGGTAAGCATTGAACAGATTACATAGACCAAAGAATGGCTTTTATCAGGAGTTTTCAAAATCAGACAAATATCTGCCAAAAATAAATATAACTCAGTTACTCTGCTTTGGGGCAGGAGGGTGGACTAGAAGATCTGTTGAAGTCTCTCTGGGTTATATTTGAAGTTGTTGTTGTTTTCCTCTGCCCTATTCTCTGCTGATTCTAATTCTGGCTGTTAGCACATGCTTTAGGAAGCTCAGCACAGACTGGGATTTGGCAGATTGAGACATCTAAAAGAGCCTCCCCAAGGCTAGACAGCCAAATGATTGTTAGGCTGAAATACAAAGATCCGAGTGATCCTAAAACACAATTTACAGTTTCCTACACGCACACACCCCGTTCAATTTACAGTTTCCACACCCCCCCCAAACACACCGTTCTTGAACAACGCGAAAAAATGTAGCAACTGTTGTTTATCAACACCGGCGTTTAAAGTAGCTTTCCTGCCAAGTCTGCCCACGAAGGACAGGGTGTGTTTTGGAGCTGCTGTTAACTAATAACCAGTTTGGGGCCACAAAACACCAATGCACAGCAGTGATTTTTGGTCTCTGTGGAACTAAGCTTGACTGCAACAAATGGGTTACAATTACTGGTCACCTCTTCTGCATTTAGAGCAGCACCTGAGCAGTGTCACAGGGAAGCAGCATCTCAGTCAAAGCCCATTGCCATGACATAATCCATAAGGCTTTGCCTATATTTTTTATAATGCTTTTCATAGCTGCTGAAGTTTCAGGCTTTCATGTTTATCTGACCCACTTGTCCAAGTGGAAAATTTGGGAAGTAAACAAGTCCCCTTCTAGGCACCTGCCACCCTTGCATGGTCTGTCCCTCAGCCTAAATAAAGCTGTGACTGCTTCTGTGAAAACTGCAGTCCTCAGTGATGCAAGAGGCACCCATAGGTATTGAACACTGACCTCTATGTGTGCAGAGGTATTTTATTACCTGTTGTATTTATCATGTAACTGGAATCAAGAGACTAAGTTCAATCTCCTTCTCTATTGTCTTTTGTGTCAAATTTTTCTGATTAATAACAAAGTTATTAATCAGAAAGCAGAAGCCAAAAAATCAAATTCAGAGTTGATTTAGGATGCCACAGTAAATATGGAGACCTTTCATGGCCACTGAGAAACATGTGATTTAAAAATGATTAAATATTGAGGAACAGCAGAGAATTATTTTAAACATAAAGCATTCCCAAGCAGGCACAGGTGGATGAATAGCAGCCCTCCTACTGAATTCTTCATTGTAATTGCAGTATCATTCAAGAGCCATTTTCAAAATGGTTGGTCAGAATGTGCCTACTAAATGTAGTAAAGCTGTAACCAGAAATGTATTTCCTGCTTGAGTAGAAAAAACATACACACAAAACTACAAAGTGAGGACTCTCTTTGTTATCCCTGTACCTTCAATCTACTGTGCAAAGTTAAACAAAGGGAGTAAAGACAAAAGGTTACGTCTAAAAGCTGTATCTTGATGAAGTAACACAACGTGCTACTGCCTGGACACAAAACTAAATTGTGCCTTCAGATGCAGAATTGCATCTAAATTCTGTCTTGTTAATACCAGGTTAGCTTCCAGGAAAGCACTTGACTTTCACAAGAACACGTGAAGTTTAAAAACCCCACATGAACAGACACTGAGACTTCCTCCTTACCTCTAAAGCCACACCAAGTGTTGCTGACACAGTAACACCACGCCAGGCTTTGATGCAGCCAGTGCTTTTGAAACAACACACTTAGAGATCCCTGCTCAA